AATAAAAGTTAGGAAAGGTGGAAGAGAGAAGTGGTGACAGAGAAGTGGGAAATGTAGAAAAGGGGAAAGCAGAGGTTAGACGTTAAAGTGGGCAGGCAGAAGTGGAAGAGGTAGCTAGAAGATACAGAGGTGAGAAGAGGTAAAAGAGAGAAACTGGGGTGGCGGAGGCAGAAGTGTGAAGGCAAGCCAGAGTTTACATTAGGTGGCGGGCTATAGTACTAGCCGGCTATCAGTAACAACATCCTTTTAGCACAGTCACTCGATGTAATTATATCATTCTAGAGAAATTATCATTACAGACAGGACATAAAACATTTGATATAGCAGACCTCCCATCAATAATATGCCTGCATCCCTGGGCTATGATTATATAAAGTTTATGAATTCCTCCTTACACAATATCTATCAATTTGTGAGCATTTTTCTCCTAGAAATATCAATTACAGCTGATCATGACAGATGTTCTTCCTGTCTGACAATACAGCACAATTTTTCCCTGATTAATGTATGACCACCAAAAAAACACTGACTGCAAGCTTGGACATCCTTTCATCTGATTAACTTGTTTGTATCTTTAAGTTATCTGTCTTGTATGATTCTCCTTGTATTTCTTGTATTCAACACTGACTGCACTCAAAATTTATGTAAATTTATAGACTTATCCAGCTCTGGATTTGGAACGATTCATCATTAATTAATAATTACAGGAAATTTCTATTCTTAAATACTGAAAAATAAGCGGTAAATTATCTGGCCTGATATTAATGTAGGCGGACAAGGCTCTTCACTGGCAGTATTAAATTAAGACTCATCTCACGCTGATGCTGCAAATGCTATTATTGTTAATTGTATTTAAATATTCAACAGAAAACATGCTTCTTAAAATTTATACCAAAGAAGCAAAGTTGTTTATTTCAATTATTTCCAACAACAATAGTTTACTTATTAACTACCTTAAAGAATGATATATCTTTAAGTTTATATAGTATCACAGCAAAAGTCATATGGTGATCGAGGAAGAGCTCTGCAGGTTCCCCTACAATATCACAAGTGGCACCATAGGCCATACCTGGATAACTTCCTTAAATTTTTTTTTTTTCTTTTAAGTGTCTGGAGGGATTCAAACCGGCAGCAGAAAATCACAAGTGATTTAATGTTAGTTACCTTAAAACATGTGGTCATAGCCTATAGATAGAATTATAATACACAAGTTATAATAATTCATGGTCTGCACTGGCCGTATAAGTGAAATCAGTTGTTGCAAGCAAGGTAAAGGTTAACCACTCTGAGCTGCACAAAAATATAAACAAATCACTTTCATCCATAAATACTTCATGAAAAATCATTTCCCATTGTCTTATTTTGAGGCCCTTTTGGAAACCAATGTGTTAGTATCACTGTAATATATTACATACTTTACTTACTATTCTGAGTAGGTAAAAAAAAGGGCATTGGACACTAATGTCATGTCAGCATCTCATTCATAAAATCCTTTTAATTCCTAGACATTTTTTGTAAAAAATGTATTTGCAGTGCTAAATCAATTTCTTCTTCTACAAATGTTGCATTAATATAAATGTCAAAGTAATTAAGAATGACACCATTTTTTCCCTGCATTTCCCATTAAAGACCATCAAAGTTCTAAAAAGGACAGAGACCAACACATATTATTACATAATCCTTCAGTTGACAGGTGGCCACATTAAAGGAGCTCCACTGACTTTAAAAAGCCTAAAAACATAAAATTTGAGATTCTTGCACAGATTGAGTGATGCACTTAAAATAATCTGCAAAAGATGATAAAGAGAATGATAATTATAGTCAAGAGTCAAATTGAAAATTGAATTTTTTGCACCATTTTCAGTGCAGTTTGAGTAAAAAGCATTGAAATGCTTCTAAATTTTTGGTCAAGTTGCACAATAAAAATGATTATTTTGGGAAAATGGACTAAGAGAATGATCTGAAATTTTGCACACAAGTTATTCAACTTATTAGGTTAAGACCTTCATCAAATGGTACAGAAGTCTCGAAAAAAAACATATTTCCAGTCCCTTCATTTCAAAAAACCTCAGCTGAGTCCCTTTAACAATTAGACAAACTCTTTATAATCGCTTAATTATACAAACACACATAAAATTAATATCATTCTATAACAATCGAAATTATCCGAATAATTTAATCAAATTTTTTCACATACCTAATGTTTTAAAACACATAGATAAATCAGAATTTTCATTTCAAATAAATCCTCTCATGTGTGTTATTTACTTTCATATATCCTTACAAAACAAGATATTATAGAAAACACTTCAGCAAGAACTTTCACAAGGCAATTGAAACATAATTCAGACAGGCAATCTTTTATAACCTAAGACTGAACAGCTGTTGAAGAACTTACTGTAAAATGCAGACATGCATTTACCACACCATCATTTCATATTGGCGATGTTGTTGTTTCTTCACTGTTGCTTTTGTGAACTTGTTACTTTTTTCATGCAATCAAAATCTTGTTTCCAGGCCAGGAGTTTTATTTCTTACAAAATTATTTCAAAAATTTCAAATTTTTGATTCTTAAAAGGTCACTGTGTACATAATTTTACATCAAGGGAGATCAGGCATATCAGTAAGTAAAATGAACAATTTCACCATACATACCAAGTTTCAGGTAAATACTTCAAGTATAAAGCTTACACCCCCTGGATCCAGAACTTGCCTAGGGACCTACAGAATGTGATCAGTATCTGATATAATGCCTTACTTTCTTACCACATTACCAGAGTTTTGTTCAGAATGTGTGTTAATTAACATTTTTCACATAATACTAAAAAGTTACAATTCTCTCTGTATTCTACCACATAACTTTCAGTAAAGTGATTACCTTTAACCTAAGATTTAACATTGAACATGTCAAATATAATCAAAACTTTAATACTATTGACTTTTAAAAAATACTGAGGGGTCAAAATTAACACTGGCAGCGTTTTTTATAACATATATTGATTAATATTTGCAGCATATTATATTGATTTATATTTGAAAAATATTATAATTATTTATATTTGCAAAATGTTATTTTTATTTATATTTGCAACAGATCATATTGATTAACATTTGCAGCATATAACATTGATTTATATTTGCAGCATATCATATTGATTTATACTTGAAACATATACTGATTTATATTTGCAACATATTATATTGATTTATATTTGCAACATATTATACTGATTTATATTTGCAGCATATTATATTGCTTTATATTTGTTGCATATTATATTGATTTATATTTGCAACATATTATATTGATTTATATTTGCAACATATTATATTGATTTATATTTGTTGCATATAATATTGATTTATATTTATAGCATATTATATTGATTTATATTTGCAACATATTATATTGATTTATATTTGTAAAATATTATGTTGATTTATATTTTCAACATTATGCAATATATTATTCACAGGGTGAGAATTTTTTTATCCTGACCAGGACTGGGGGGACCCTTGAAATATCTATCGTTCCTCAACTCAACCCAGAACTTATGTCCCAGAAATGCTTTAAAGGGAGCCTCTATTTAATCCTACACTCAAATTTATTATTATAATACTATAAGTAATGATAACTCACATATAAACCTTTTTAAATATGAAATCAAACATAAGTTCCGATAAATATAAACATAATTCAGCATTGTTATCTCAGGTAAAATTCTTAAAGACATTTTTCCTTTTAAATCATTTATGATACTTTCAAAAAATGATTGTTTACTTTTTGTTTCTATAGCACTTATGATAAGAAAATGGATGGCAGTTAAATTTATGTATGTGAATTTAGTCTCTTTGATATAAACTTCTTCTTTTAAGATAAGTTATCTTCTCACAAATAAAATCTTAAGTAGTTTTGATTCTTTCTAAATTAAACGTAAAGAAATCTTTATCATATATATCAGATAACAGAATAATTTTGAGATAAATGAATTGTTAAGATTTTAATAACTGAATTATTTAAAAGAATTAACTGAATTATTTAAAAGAATAAATAGATAACTGATTCATTAAGGGAGATAACTAAGTCATTAAAAAGATAATTGACTCATTAAAAAGATAGCTTAATCATTAAAGAGATAAATGGATCTTAAATATTTAACTTTATCATTTAAAAGAATGAATCATTAAAAGATAGGAGAATCATTAGGAGATAACAGACTAATTAAAAGATAACTGACTCATTGAAAAAGATAATTGAAATATGAGATAACTGAATCATTAGGTGATAACTAAATCATTAAAGAGATAAAATCATTAATAAGACAGAATTATTAAACAGATAGCTGAATCATTAAAAAGATAACTGAATCATAAAAAAGATAACTGAATAATTAGGAGATAACTGAGCATTAAAGAGATAACCAAGTCATCAAGAGATAACAATCAATAAAGAGACACATGAATAATTAAAGAGATAACTGAATCATCAAGAGATTAATTGAATCATTAAGAGGTAAATGGATATATAAAGAGATAAATTGATCATTATGAGATAAATCCATCCCTGCATTATTTCAAGCAAACATGGGCACCTGAGTAGAACTACTGACATTCCATAAGCTAGCAGGATACCTTCCTAATTAAAAGAATTCATAGTTCCTCGCAGGAGCTAGTTTTAGTATTATCAGAAGTACAAAAATTGAGCTACCAACAGTATAGAGCCCAGTCAAACTGCACATAAGTGCAGAATGGCTTGGCTCTCGCATTGGTGGCAGCAGAAAATCACTTTCAGTTTCAGACGGTTAAGGGTTAAATCCTTGATTTTCCCATTTCATATTTAATAGCATATCATCAAAGAAACACTTATCAACCAATGAAGATCAAAATATAAAACCAACATATAATCACAACAATTTCTCTTCTTTAGTCAAAGTTTATACTTAATATAGTACGACACTAAAGCATGTACTTTCTTTTTAAAAACTTATCTTGGTACTTACATATTCATCATCGTCCACATCGGAACCTTGGGGCTGAAAATAGACAAGAAAAATTGTTAACATTTTAAAACATAATGCGATATAAAAAATAATTGAAAAAATAATATCTGCAAGAATAAAACTTTTCATATGGTAGTCTGTCAGGCTAAACATTGGCAAATATCATGCATGAATCCTGCCCCCTCAAACCAGCCCAACTCCCCAACTCTTCACTAAAATACTCGCCAAACACTTCTGAAATACAAAATTTATCAGAACTCGAGGAGAATATCAGAATAATTGCAATCTCATACTTTCGTTTCTCATGACAAAACATGGAAGAATTCAAGTAAATAAATATCTGTCATAAAGTTACCTACAGTTGAAAATGGATGTATCCGATTTTGACCAAACATTGCGCCCATTCCAGTTTAACCAAAATAAAAAAAAGGTAGAGAAAGATAGAAACGTCGGAGCCAATCAACTTCCCCAAAAACATACAAAATTTCAACCAATCATGCACAAACATGCATGAAACATCATAGAAACATAGGCCGTGCCATCTTTTCTTCTTTCCCCGGCTAATTTCGGTTTCATTTTTTATATGACCGCATATATCTAATGCAATATGTACCGACACCAACCGAGAAAATCTTGGGTTCACTTGTCTCTTTAGCTCTAAAAGCTTTCATGAATATTTTAATATTTCAGAAGACAATAAAACCAGTTAAAGATCTAATTCCATTTCTAGTAATACAGTCTGCATCAAAGTCATATGCAATATTACTGTTATCATCTACGTTTCCAGACAATAAATAAAAAAATTCCCGCTGCAAACTGGTGTGTAATTTTCAGTTTTGTTTCGCGAAGCGAACAATTATCGAAAACAGTCTGTATATAACAATTAAGTAATTACAGCACCCATTTCAGGTACAGTTTGGCGATAATATACCATTAAATATATTAGAATCTTTCGTCCAAATGGCTACTGTCAAATGTATTAGAATATATGCGAGCTATAATCAACTCATATAGACAATGAGATTCCTCAGCTTGGTTAAATCTAGATCATCAGTCTGTCAGTTAATAGAGCATTTCCAAATAAATTCAAAAATAGAACGTATTTGTCCGCCAACTGTCACAAAAAATATTTCCTCTTTGATCTTTTTGCCAAATGGAAAATATGTGTACTTATCTATCATAGCCTTTTTCATTTAAAGATACTAATTCTCACCAAATCTTTCATGCATATTTAACAGCTTAAATGGCTAAAGTTGAGAGACTATCCTGTTTTCAAACAAGAGCTGCCTTTTTAATTGGAGAGAATGCAATACTTGAAAGTAGCCGGAATTTCACTTAGGGAAAAAATCAAAGCAAAGTTTTGAATCTTGGTCAGTGACCTACATTTCTGACCCAGCAGATAAGTATATTTCAAATAAATACCTAGTGGTTGTGGAATTATAACTTGTATGCACTGAAGAACAGTAACCAAATTGTTTAATTGTTTCAAATTGTTCATAATTTAGTCAAAATCCATGATAGAGTTATGGGTCTTGGATAGTGACCTACAATTATGATATCTCGAAAGGATATGTGAAAAATTTTCAGTGAATATCATGAGAAATGGTGTTGCACTGGAAACCTAATCATGTGAAACACACCATGTTGAGTAGGATAACCCCCAAGTAGTTTAAAGACTAAATTTCAATACTTCAAAGAAGATATGGAAGACTACTGTCCATAAAAATACAAGACATGTAAATTGAATTACAGGTATGGTTTAATATTAATTGGACACAAATGGTATATTATTATACATCAAAGGTTATAATATCAACACAATTAAATATGACCTTCACCTTCTAAACTACACATTTACACAATTGAACATGTTTACACATTGGTTTTTAATGAAAGTACTATAAATAAGATGGCTTATCAGCTGAACAAAATTAACAGACCACTTTTGATCTAACTGTAGAACAAATCTTTGAAGAATAAAGGTTAAACAAACTGTTTATACTTTTTCCACAGGTCAAGTAAACATTGACCTTCGACCTTCCTGAGAATTTATAAGAATCAGCAGTTTACCGTAAGATAAAATAACTAGCAGTAAACTTCCAGATGTTAACAATTCACCCTTCCATTATCAGTAAAAGTTTTAATACAGTAAACTTAACATTGGCATTACAACATCAACTGAGCAAATTTTGATATTTTGTTTGAATTGTAAAAACTCCAAAATGTTCATAATAAAATTCCTACATTTTATTCACATTAATGCCCACACTGTAAAAGTGTAATGATACTGGTCATCAAATATTGAAACACTTCACTCTTTTATGTGCAAAAGCTTTTTACTGGTGTAAATATTTGATAACCCTCTAGACCTTCCTACAATATTAACAGTTCCAATAAATAAAGAAACGTAACTCTAGCAGGAAAAACTTAACTATTACTTCAAGAGTTGTCTATTCATAAACTGCAGCCAATTTTGAGATGCATTTGTTTCTCTGGGAAATTAATTTTTTCATTAATTCTTGCAATTCATCAACACATGTGCTAACTTAATCCCAGTCTTTTAATGTCCTGACTTCCTCAATTTCACTGCTTGTTTAAGAAATACATTTTTGACTTCAAAATTTTAATTTTTCAAATTTCAAATATTACTGTTCAAACCAGTGTTATAAGGTGCTGAAATAAAGACCTCTCTTCTTGACCTCCTATGTTCAAAGTCAGTCCCTTAATTGAAAAGAAAATGTTAGTCCCATAAGAAATTTATTAAATGTGATTCAAAGCCGATATTTGTTGCACACTGCTTTTTAGGTAGTTTTATTTCCAAACGGAGTGTTTGCACCCAGGGAGCATTTTGAAAAACAGTGACAAAAATCAGAAGTGTTACACATTTATATTGAATACTGATTCTATGTTAACACAGTTAATTATGACACACACTATTTCAGACAACATTCCCACGACCCCCTTCCTTCCAAACCAAAGTCACACTAGTGCTACATTATACGACCGTATAACTTACCGACTCAGACCCCTGAAATCAACAATACAAGAAAAAATTGAAGAAATCATTATTCACAAATGTAAATCTAAAGAAACCAATTAAAACCTATTGATATATATTATATTCCTGGCAATGCTTTTTACATGTGGTGCAACATTACTGTGGTTCACCAATGTATTGTGATGAAAAGTCGGCCAATACATTTAGGTACAGAACCCTTGTACCAGAGACATCTTCATCTGTATTTGATCAAATATATGATTAAATAATCCTATATCAACTATTTCAAGCACTACCTTCACCTTTTTATTGTTTGATGAAGACAAACAATAACCATTCAAATACATTTAGATGAAAAAGTATTATAAATATTTCTTAGAGCTAATAGCATGCCGAAAATCCACAGAGGCATTAGAGCAAGTGCTTCAATTATCGACAGTCTATAGTTATCGACAGTTTTATTATTTTTCATTATTTAAAATTTTCAAATTAACTTGTCAAACACATTTGAGGTAATCTTTTCCCTGAAACACTATCTACACGTTCCTTTTGCTATTTTGCAAAAGTCCACGGAGTTTGGTCAAGTCAAATTTGCATGCATTTTACAACCGTTGCATCAATTTGTTTACTAGACAGGACAGCTTACGTCACAGGGTAAATCAGTCAGTTACGTAATATCTTAAAGTTGTGATTTTCGCTTTATTTTTCCGAGAGTTATTCCACTTTGTTTAGTCTAATATAAGATGTGTATGGGTTACAGACCACTAAATATGCAATATTAACGGTATTGATACAGTTGTAGGGGGATGTCGATAACTACGTCCAGTAAACAGAAAGGTCTACAGTTATCGACACATTGCAATTTTTAAATAAAAATTTATGTTTTAAAAACAATTTTATTGAAGAGTATAAAAATAATGTAACTATATAGAACATTAATGTTTTATTTAATTATCCATTTACATACAATGTTCAACAGTAAACATTTAGTTCTACCTCAGACAAATTTAAACTTTAAAGATGATAGGTTTCAATACAGTCATGAAAGAACATTACTCCTGTTCTAGACGTCATCTCAAAATCAAAAGAGGGTCCAATACTTGCCACCCAAAATGAGGGGAAGTTGAAGTCAACTATGAGATGTAATGGGATGTCGAAGGTAAAGGCTGCCAGGCTATATGTGGTTCCAAGGACCACCCTTTTAGATAACCATTTGGGAAGAGTTCCTGAAATGCCATCAAGGCCCGGACTTCCGTCAGTTTAGACTCCTGCTGAGGAGAAAGCTCAAATAAACTATGCAAATCTGATGGCAAAAGTTTTACCTTGAATTTTATACTCTGTTGAAATCGGAAAACAAAAATTATATGCTGAAATAATCTATGAAGTGCACCTTTTAATGATGTTATGGTTCATGTATTTCAACTACAAATGTATGCAATTTTGATAACTTCTTAAATAAAACGTTTCAAATCAAATTTCCTATATATATTAATAGGTTCTTCATCTATTTTAAACACATTTGCCATGACTATGAATCTTTATTTTATATTTCAGGTTATTCACTATCCAAGAAAGAGATTTTGACTAAGTTCTTAAGTGATCAGTCCTTTTCCCCTTAATATATCCTGAAGGCAAGTGGGTCCATCTGACTCTGAGCTTATAGTAGCAACTACATGTACTTCAACTGTCTCAGACAAGTCTTCTGCCTTTAATAAACTCATTATCCCTGAAATAAAGAAAAGAAAAGTCAATTCCTTTAGAAATAAAATCCCAAAAGTGTTGTAAGGTTCTGTTGCTTTGAATTTGTTAATGTGAGAGAAAGTAAGAGAAGACCAGAAGAAGAGGAGTAAGAAAGACAGAAAGATAAAGCAAGAAAAGTGAGAGAGGAAGAGAAAGAAAGAAAGGAAGATTTGTAAAAGATAATAAAGAAAGAAAATAAAATTGATAGAAAAGAAAAAAGGTAGAGGCAGATATATGCCTGCAATACCTCTTCTGAGGAAAATATACCATACATGGATTCCGATGATGATGATGATGGTGGTATTCAAATGCAATGGTTTGTTGAATTAACTATGTCAGTATGTTATCTTATACTTACATCAAATGTATGTTACCTTATACATGTACTTACATTACAGTCTTTACTATCTCTGCTTACATCAATATATCTGAATAAAAAATTGAAATTGGTTATTGACTTATCATTTTTCTAAAAATTTAGGGCACATCATTTTTCTTAAAATTTAGGGGTCTGAAACTTGGGTTCAAAGTTCAATTCAATTAAAAAAAATAAACTGCAAACACATGAAAATCACGATTTATTAATTTAAGTAAATACTTTTTGCAATATAATGATTGTCATGATATTATAAAACATAATTATTATCAATATGTCCATTAAAAAGGATTAGTGTCCTCAATTAAAAAGTACCTGTCGATAATTGCGTCCATGTGTCGATAACTACAGCCTTAGAATTAGTAGTTACTACCGAGTGTCACGCTGTGTAAAAATAATTGGAACCGGGAAATACCCTTCTAAACAACCAATCAACGATTGTTTTACATAGTAGAATTCAATCAAATGGAAATAAACAAATCGATAATTGTACGATGGCTTTTTTGGGTTAACCTGTCGATAACTGCAGCACTTGCTCTAGTTATATTTTGTATTTCATAACAATCAATGTATTGTATGTAATTAAGCTAATATCTTCACCTTAGTGAAGAAACGGGTTGACTCATATTGAATTATATATAAGGATTTTACCCATTACTGCACTAAAGTAGTAATATATATATATATATATATATATATATATTACAATACAGGTTCACTGTATCACAACATAATGATTGTGCACTGCGGGTCTGAACATCATACTGTTGCACCCCTGCTTTTCATATATCTATAAAAGTTATATTCACATATCAATCAAATCAAAATTAGTCCTTTTTACACCCCTATAGCTAAAATAATAACATATAAAATAAAACTGATCAATTAAAATAATAGTCCCGTCTCATTATATCAGGTTTATATATAATACATGTACAATGTATATTATCTTGAAATTACTCTATAACTCTTTCAATATCTTTAATAAAGAGGTAATAATTTACGTTGTCTGTCTCTGGTGTTAAAAATAGCGCAGGTCTGTCTGTCTGCACATCTCCTCAATATTGAATGTCTAGACTTCAATCTGTTAGCTACTAAATTAAGTACTTTAATAGACATACATTTGACAGTACAAAAACCAAAAGCAGGCGAAACTCAAGTGCCCTCTAAACAACAGACAGTTCTGGTTGACTCAAAGCAGGACCATCTGCCCTTTAGATCATAATGGTTGAATTGATTTCTGCTTACTCATAAATAAATGAAATTGAAAATGAGGGAGTATGGAATTGTGAAAGGAGAAGGCAATGTTATTTAAAACGGCAAATATGATAAGACAGGCAGTATGAATTTGTTACAGGAAAGCAATATTTAACCGAAAAAAAACATAATTGACCACTAGGCTGCATGATTTTGTGAAATGAAATGCTATGTTAAAAACCAAGAGCCATGAGTAAGAGTCTGCATGATTTAGATAGAGTAAGTGAAGCAGCATTTGGCAACATAAGTGACATAGAGGCAGATGGTTCTGTGAGCGGGAAGTAATATTTTACACACCATTATAAATAAATGACAGATTCCGTATGATTTTGAGTGAGCAAAGCAACATTTAGCAACATAACTGTCAGAGAGGCACTATGCAGTAGAACTTTGGTAAGTTGGATTTGAAGTGACTTCTTGCATTAAAACTTCGAGACACAGGGACTTCGACTCATGTATCAGTTAATGACAAAACTTCGAGCCAATGATGTTTACAAGTGACTTACAAAAGGCATAACAAAAGGGCAGGATGGTAACTTAACTGGTTCAGAGCTAAGATACTTAATGTGATTATCAAAAGGACAGGATGATAACTTAACTGGTTCATAGCAAATATACCAAATGTGATTATCACAACATCGGGTCTCGGAAAAATCCAAACCACACCTTCGACTCATTAATGGTCAAATGTTCTCCAGTTATTCTTTACGGACCACAGAAAAGACTTCAAAACATTGGAAAAATCAACTGTATATAGGTTTTGCTTAAACACATCTAGCAAAATCAACTAATTGAAGTTCGACATATAGAAGTTCTTTGTATTATCGAAGCCAAATAGAAAACACAAGGAGACATAAATGAAGAGAGATGCAGCATGGTTTGATTATTCTTTTTTTTTTTTTTTTTTTTTGATGAAAGGCAATATATTAATACCATCAGGCATAATATGACAGGAAGGCAGCAACTGATTGCCACCTATACAGCTCTGGCAACACATCTCTGTAACTCTCCTATTACCCTTCAGAGACTTAACACCATGTCTGTCATGAGAGCATACACAGATTCTGTGCACTCTATTAGTCACAAGGGACGTCAATTCTTCTAGAAATAACACCCAGTGATTCTAACTAAAAAGAGCAGAAGTTGATCTCCATTGATTAATCCCTCTGACCAAAAGATACCAATTTATAAACTACAGTCATCTTTTTAATTGTAAATGTCTTTTCTTTACCAAAAACACTCAATAGTTATATTTCAATTGTTGGTTTTTTATGATGCCATAATTTGACTTTAACACTTATTGTGCCATGTATTGTGATCATTTGACAAGAAACAGCCTCAAATGCAATGAGAAAACCTAAATTTTTGCCCAATGCAATTGGTGTATCATGTGCTGATTTGAATTAATAAAATAGCAAACTAATTGAAATGAAAAAACTTTGCATTGTGCTTAGCTAGGTCTCTTCAACATTTCTATATCAAGATTACTAAACATTATCTTCTAAACGCAAGCCAATTTAGCAATATCAGAACTGCTCTGAACACAAGAACCTACAGAAACATATTACAAACTGCAATCTACACAAGCACTGTCAGCAATATCTGAACTCCTCCAAACACAAGCACCTGCAAAAACAAATAAGAATCTGTAACCTGCAAAATCATCAATTGTTTAGAAATTATGTTTTTTGTAACCAAAGTCACCTTAAGGTTGCAGACTCCATAAGGCTACAATATCTTAAAGGTGTAATCTAACACATTTAGCACCATTAGGCTGCATTATCATAGAGGCAGAATCCTACACAAGCACCATTAGGCTGCATTATCATGGAGGCAGAATCCTACACAAGCACCATAAGACTGCATTATCCTGGAGGCAGAATCCTACACAAGCACCATAAGACTGCATTATCATAGAGGCAGAATCCTACACAAGCAGATTTTGTTTGTTTGTTAGGTTGTTTTATAAGGCGCACCAACACAATTTAGATCGTATGGCGCCGAAACAGGAAAGATGATTTTGCCTTACAAAACATAAAGCAACACCAAAGGGTCAAAACCACCTTACCTGCTTGAGCTAAGAGGTGCATATATATATAGTCTCCCTTAATTCAAACCCATTTTGTGGTCCATTATAATCAAACAGGGATAAAAGAATGAAGCAACTCTGATGCCTCAACAATTAAAGCCAACATCTCAGTGACAAGGTAACATTATCATAGAAGCTGAATCTCACACAAGCACTACAAGATTGTGCAATCTTAAAAACTGAATCTAACAAAAGGTTACAGAAGGCTGCAATATCTTAGCACAAGCACCATAAGGCTTCAATTTTTTAGAGACTGGATGTTACACTAGCACCATAAGTCATCATCAATTTATAAATACAATAACCTTCTCAAATACAGACCACAACGTCAAAGAAAATGTTAAACCTGTACCTAAGTACAAGAATTCTGAAAGTGCACCTTAAAAATATTCATACACACATTGCTTAAGCAAAAATAACAGTAAGACTACTTTAATTAGAAGGTATAAAATAAAATCACCTGCCAAAAAGCATCTGGCTGATTTCCCATTATAATCCAAAATGAAGCGGTGGTTGGTTCAGCTTTTTCTTTATTCTAACATGAAAACACGACTATAATTCCATAATAATGATACAAATATAGCACCAATTTATGGCATTATCAACTAATTCAATAACAGAAAAATTATACTTAAATTTGCTATTAGAGCTTGAATAATTTTCCAAAAAAAATTACTCTTGTCCTTATTTCTTCCCATTTTATTAATGATGTCTGAACAAAAAGCTGCTTATTAGGTAGAACCTATGATCCTTACATCAGGCTTTCTAAAAATCAAAGCATTTTTAGGGATATTTAATAAATATGATCATATTTGAAAGTGAAGAAATTTGTTGTTTTGAGAGGCAGACTCTTTGCTATACATATCTAGTATTTTCAGACTACCGTATTTCTTCTATATAAAGACCTCAGTCATAGCCTGCTTACTGACCAACCTTCTATAAATAATACTGCTAACGTGAATACATTGAAAAGTTATTATATTCTGAGATTTTAAACTCAAACAATGCATTATTTTACAACAGTGCAATCAAAATTGATAATTGAGCTGTGTCATGACAAAACCAACATTGTGCCTTTGCGACCAGCATAGATCCAGATCAGCCTGCGCGTCCGCCCAGTTTGCTCAGGATCCATGCTGTTCACTATCAGTTTATCTACTTGTAATAGAGTTGGTAAGCGAACAGTATGGATCCTGATCAGACTGCGCGGACGTGCAGGCTGATCTGGATTCATGCTGGTCGCAAACGCACTATGTTGGTTTTGTCGTGACGCAGCTCATATGTATTTTCTAACTGTATGAACCACTTTTGAGACAGAAGAACACCATGCAAGGTAGGTAACTCAATGAGGGGGAAGTTGGAATGTGGTCTGTCTTAATTTGATAGCAATCCTCTCAAGACAGCATGATCTATGAAATAACCATATGCATAAAATAATGCTTTACATTTCATTTACACATTAAATCTATCACATAATTCGTCTCCTTAATGCAATAATGGGTTAACTCCTATAAATTTTTAAAAGAAGTTAACACGTTACTACACTTAGGTGACAATATAAAATAGCCTTATCTGATAAGCCCGAAGTTTCATACAAACATTCCTTTATTAGAAGATTTACAGTATTAAGACATTTCCTTTACGATATTTTTACCATATTTTGCATTGTTGTGAAATTTAGGTTTCGCATTGTACCTAAATCTTCCCTAATGGATTCTTTAATTCAGTTTTCTCTGCATTCAATGAAATCTATTATGAAACAACAGTATACACTGCTTTCCCTCATTAGCCCAACCAAGAATACACCCTCTTTCACGTCTATTTCTGGTTAAAATACAGAATTTGGAAGGCTTGAATTATATAAGATATCGTGCATTGTTCTAAATTATACAATACATAAAACCAACCAATATAAATAAATTATAATCATAATGTTGCAGTCATCTTTAGCAGTCATGCCTCCAGGTTCATGCTTATTTTAATATAAAACAAGTCAGTCATATTTTGCATATATATAACAAAGTGAAGCATTTTATGGGTTACGGATTTTTAAACATTTCTTAAAGTATAATTTCTACGACACTGCTTAATTTCGAGAAATCATGTAAGTAGAGATGTGTCAAAGGAAGCAGATGCACCCGCAATATGGCATAATTATTACCTTCAATTGCAACTATGACCTGACTATGTTGCGT